TTGGATAGCCATCTGTCTGAAACGGTATAGGGTTTCCTGCCTAGGCAGGTGGTTGGACTAGAAGACCTCCAAGGTCCCTTACAACTCTGCTATTGTATTGTATTGTCTATACTTACAAAAATCAGAATGATACAGACAATAGTTTTCCATATGACATTCCATGAACTGCGTTCAACTAGGACTGGACAAAGTAGAAAGAAAAAGAATGAGAGAATATCTACCACTAAGTGGATGGAGCCAATTACAGAAGTGACAAGCACACTGTTAGAAGGCCAGAAGGACCAAGTTTGGGACAGATCATGCAGGAGAAAATCTATCATGTGGTTGCAAGAATTGACAACAACTTGATGGCACATGATCAAATACGTAATACTTACTGATCAGCTGTATATAATACCTTGGTGTTTTTAAAGCAGTGCCTCTCAATCCTGACACAACCAAGTGTGAACTTGACATTTACACACCTTAGCATTGCCAAAGTTAAGAAACAGTGATTTAAAGAATCTGCCCTATCAAAATAACTTCATCACATATCAAATCCTTCAGAAAATGTGGGTTTTTAATTTGCCTGAAAAGCTATTTTGCTAACTGATAAGGGTTTCTCAAAATATCCTAGGTTTTATACAGATATTAGGCAATAAAGATAAACACAGCTGACTCTGAATTTCTTTGCAGAGAAAGGTACCAGAATAAATACGTATGTATTTATATGTCACTGTTTGTGAAAATGAATTATAAAATTAATCCAGTGGGGTTGGGTGCAAATAACCTAACCTGAATTACTTGTTAATCAGATAATCTGTTTTGCTTTCTGAGCATCTAATTTTTAGCCATATATGTGAACTACTAAATGGGGTGAACTGTGTAGATGACAGCTACCGTAATTGTGAGATGTGCAGTATTTGCAATATTGATTTGCACAGATGGGACCTCCTGTCAATGCATAATATATACGTGGATATATATCATAAGTGTTCCATGGTTGTTCTTATCACAGTCTCTATATTTTGGAGTATAACAGAACAGGTACTATAGGCCTTGACTTACAATAGTTCATTTAGTGACAGTTCAAAATTACAATGGCACTGAAAAAAGTGACTTGTGATTATTTTTCATATTTACGACTGTTGCAGCATCCCTATTGTCAAGTGATAAAAATTCTGATGCTTGGTAAACTGACTCATGTTTATGACGGTTGCAGTGCCTTGGGGTGACGTGATCAGTTTCTGTGACCTTCTTACATGCAAAGTCTATGGTAAAACCAGATTCACTTAACAATCTTGTTACTAGTTTAACTGCAGTGATTCACTTAAGAAGTGTTGCAAGAAAGGTCGTAAAATGGGGCAAGACTTGCTTAACAAATGTTTCACTTAGCAACATAGATTTTGGACTCAGTTGTGGTCATAAAGCGAGGACTACCTGTAATCCGTGATTTACACATATTTCAGTAGAATTAGGCTTACTCCTCACTGACTCCAAAATTACTTAGAATTTTATATAATAGCTTAGGTATGTGTCCTTCTTGATCAGAAAACTCCTGCAAAATTTATCCCAATTACCTCCACACGACCTATTAGATCTCATCGATTAGGCCTCCTCCGAGTTCCATCCGCTGGTCAATGCCGACTGGCAA